TCTAAAACTTAGTTCTTAAGCTTTTAAGGTCAATTTTATTATTTTATTCTGTTTGGAGACCTAGAAAAATTTAAGGTGATTTTAAGGAGCCCTTTCATTGATTGTGTAATCCCATTTTCAAATTTAGTTAATTAAAATCTCTTAAAATTTAAGTGATGCCTTTATACAATTAAAAGCCCATTTTAAAAGTATTTCTGTTGTCTGACTGACAAAAAACCTTCCCAAGTACAAACTTGAAACCTTACTGATGAAGATCAAAGACTATAGCCTTCAGTATGGATTACACTTTAACATAAAGAAAACAAAAATCCTCACAACTGGACCAATAAGCAACATCATGATAAATGGAGAAAAGATTGAAGTTATCAATGATTTCATTTTACTTGGATCCACGATCAGCGCCCATGGAAGAAGCAGTCAAATCAAATGATGTATTGCATTGGGCAAATGTGCTACAATAGACCTCTTTAAAATGTTCAAGAGCAAAAATGTCACTTTGATAGCTAAGGTGCACCTGACCCAAGCCATGGTATTTTCAGTTGCCTCATATGCATGCGAAAACTGGACAATGAATAAGGAAAACTGAAGAAGAATTGATTCCTTTGAATCATGTGTTGGTGTTGAATATACTGTGGACTGCCAGAAGAATAAGCAAATCTGTCTTTGAAGAAGTACAGCCAGAATGCTCCTTAGAAGCGAGGATGGCGAGAGTTCGTCTCAGATACTTTGGACATGTTATCAGGATGGACCAGTCCCTGAAAAAGGACATCATGCTTGGTAAAATAAAGGGTCAGCAAAAGAGAGTAATACCTTCAGCAAAATGGATTGACACAGTTGCTGCAACGATGGGCTAAGCATAGCACCAACTGTGAGCATAGCACCAACTGTGAGCATAGCACCAACTGTAAGCATAGCACCAATTGTGAGGATGGCACAGGACAGGGCAGTGATTCGTTCTGTTGTACAGAGTCACTATGAGTGGGAACCAACTCGATGGCACCTAACAACAACAAGCACAAACTTAAATAAATCTCCTAATGAACTTATAGGTATGATGAGACTTAAATTCTTCTTTTATCTTCCAGTGTATTTTATACAAATATCAATCCATTTTCTAAATTACATTGCTATTTAAATTGGCTAATCACAAGGCTAATCTATTATTCTAGATGACCTAATTCTCTTACACATTATAAATGACTAAAATACAAAATATGTACAGATTATTTATTTAAAAATACTAATATATGATTTTGATTTTTTAAAAAACTTTTATATACTCAATTGTGAATCTTCTTGGGTTGAAAGATAATTACCTATTAAGGAAATAATTATACTATCCTTTCAAACAATTTTTTTGAGTTGCCTTATTAATTCAGTATGGTTTCTTAATAACCAGGGAAGCCTTTAGCCAGGATCTTGAGTGAATCCTTGCCCCAAATTAGTGACACACACAGAGCTATATTTTATGGTTACTTTATTCTTAAAATAAGATGCTTTACAGCCTTTTCTTAGATTCAAGTTAAGTATTTCTAATTCTTTAATCTACCCCCAAACAGGTTGTCATATCACTTAATTGGATTCAGTTAATCTGTTTACTACTTCATTCTGTTCTGAATCACTGTTACATGTTTCTTTTCTGTGAGTGCCACAAATCCTTCAGGATTAAAATGACATATGTTAGAATCCCTTTTTGGCTTTGACTCGGTGGATAGTTTTAAGGTCATGTTATCCAGTGCTAACCAAAAACTAAAAACATAATAATGATTTTGGTTATACAATTAATTTTCCTTAATTTGAAATTTTTTCAAAAAAGTAATTACTATCATTTAGCTTACAACTTTCCAGGAAATAAGAGTGAGTAATATGGTTACATTTATTGTAAAGCAGGACCTTTGTAAAATAATAGTAAAATAATGCCAGTCATATATCTGTACCCCAAATTATCTAGCATTATGTGTAAAAGAACAATAAACTTTTAAGAATTTTTATAACTAATTCTTTCCCTCATCTATCATTTAACTTCAGGCCTTTTGAGGTTATATATGTATATTCATTTTCTCATTTATATCTTTAAAAGGTTAGTAAAAACCAGTGTCTTAAGTTTTTAAAATGTAGTAAAAAATATATATAACCAGTTTATTAGTTTTACAATGGAATACATGAAGTATAAGAAAAAGCAACATATTTTGCCTATCACATGAGGTCACTGTGAGTTGAAATTTACTGGATGGCAAACAACAATAGTATTTCAATCAGCACTTGAATCTTCATTCAGAACTAAAACTTTCCCTTAGCTATGGTTTAGGAGTCCTGGTGGCACAGTGGTTAAGAGATCAGCTACTAACCAAAAGGTTGGCAGTTCAAACCCACCAGCAGCTCTGTGGGAGAAAGGTGTTGCAGTCTGTTGCCATAATGACTACAGCTTTGGAAAACCTACGGGGCAATTCTACTCTGTCCTGTAGGGTCACTGTGACAACAGAGGTTCAGCTAAGGTTATCTATTGGTGGGAGGCAGTTGGTTTCTCTTTTTGTTGCTTATTGCTTTGCTCATTTACAAGTTGCTATATTTTATCCCATCAGGATTTAAACTGGGGGGAAGAAATTGAGGTAGACAGGCAAACAATTTCTTACCTGACTACTGTGGTAAAATGGCTTCATTCTTTCTGAGCTTGGTAGGTGTTTAAGGCTTTTTCTTGTGTGAACTTCTGTGGATGCTTCAGAGGCCTTCACTGGGAGCTGTACTATCCATGACACTCAAGAATTTTTCCTTCTACTAGACCGTACCCCCTCACTCTCCAGACCTTCAATCTGGTTTTCTCTTAGGCCATTCATCGGTGAATAATAATCTTCTCCTTTCATTTTTTTTAGTGTTTTATCACCTCTCAGTTGATATCCTGGGTAGGATTTTTAATAGCTTTATTAACATATAATTCACAGACCATGAAATTCACCCTTTTAAAGTGTATGTTCTGTGGTTTTTAATATATGCATAGAGTTGTGCAACTATCACCACTATCTAAGTTTTAGGACATTTTTATCAGGCAGGATTTTAAATATCTCCATGTTGGTGTTCTGTGTGGTCCTGCTTCCTTGCCTCTGTCCTTCACCACTAGTGTAGCTATTCGTTAGCACCCATACTTCCTCACCCTGGATCTTTCTCCTGTCTGCCCTTTCTTCTGTCCCTCTCACTACTGCCTCAGAGTGATAGCCAAAGCCTTTCATTTCCTCAAGTGTGTATCAGGCACCAGTCTCCTGTGTCTCCCGTAACTCATGGAACGTATCAAGTGCTCCAGAGCATCTCACTGAAGCCTGTTTCACTGGCTTAGGTGAAAAATGGGCACCTCCCGATACTTTGAGGGGAGGCACAAGAGTTAGCACAACTCTGAGGAAATTTCTCCTTATGAAATCTGTTTACTCTTTATACACTGAATGTAGACTTTAGAGCTACCTAACCAGTTCTGGGAGCCCTGGTGGTATAGTGGTTAAGAGCTCAGCTGCTAACCAAAAGATCAGAAGTTTGAGTCCACCAGCTGCTCCTTGGAAACCCTATGGAGCAGTACTACTCTGTTCTGTAGGGTCGCTGTAAGTCAAAATCAGCTCGATGGCAGCAGGTTACAATGGGTTAACCAGTTCTCAGATATACTACTTAGGAAATTTTCTATAGGGTATTCTTTCTCACAAGTCACTTTGGTATCTCATTGTTAATAGTATCTTGATGCCTCTGTTGAAACTTCCAATTTAATATAGTGTACCTTAGATATCTCTTAGAAGGTAGTGAAGCTTGTAATTTTTCCCCTTCAACAAATGTTCTATCATATAATAAAGTATATTAGAACCTACAGACTTTTGGTAGAGGGAGTTTGAATAAATAATTGCACTTCTTGTAGAAGATATGTAAGAACTATTTTGGCCTTTTCAAAGCACTATCTGACATTTTCCTTTTTAACTACCATATTGTGCATTTAAGTAAATACTCCTCAGAGGCAGCCTTTAAGCATAATATGCTGTAGTAAACATTTGAAAAGAAAAGTAAAAGAGAAACGGCCACCTCATTTGCAGCTGTAATGGCTTTTTAAAATCTGGGTTAAAGTATAATAAGTGTAAATTAAAAGGAAACATTAGCTTTTCTTGTTACTTAAATAAACAGAGTCAACTTTTGGCTAAAACAGATTATTTTATTGGTTAATTTTTAAATTTAATGAAGGTCATTATTACAGAAAATAAGTATTTAAGATTTCCAATTTCTTCTTTTTTTCCCAAAGCCACCTGCTTCTGCTTACCAATAGATATACATTACACATTCTGCGTAAATTAGTTTGGTCTAGGTAGAAATCTTGGTAATAACTATAAAGAGCAATTTTTTTTTTTCAAGGAGTGTCAATCCAGGAAAATGTGTATAGGGAGATTTCAACTAGCTGCATTTGTCCCTTCCGCAATGAAAATAGGAGCCCCAGAGAGGGGAAAAATACAAATTAAAGATTTATCAATATACCACCTACTAGTTGGATGTCATTCAAAAAATGGTGACCCTACAAAAATGTCACCACACAGGTACCTTTCTGATCTTCTGTTAATTCAACTCATCTATAGCCTTAACAAAATATGTTCATAAGCATAACCTCTCCAAAATAGGTGGCATTTTTATTCCCATGTCACAGATGGAGAAACTGAAGTTTAGAGGTAAAATGACTTTCCCAAGGATAAATGATGAGTTGGTAGCAAAGCTAGATCTAGAAATAGTTAAGTCCATTCAGTGCAGAATTTACAGTTAGAATATATACTGGAGATGTGGAGATCAATTAATGAATGGAAGAAATCTGTTCCATCTTATTCCTAACCTGTCTCACCATGGCTGTAGAGTCTCCTCTGCTTGGAATGGATAGGATGAGACTTAGAACTACAGTCTGAAAGGCTTTCTTCAGTTCAGTCTGGCTGCTTTGGTTTAAACATCTACACTTTGGGAATTCTGGCAGCCTGAGGTCTCTGTCTTCTTCCATGAAGTAACTACCACCACCACCATTCTCCAGTTCTGTCTCGTAGTTATCCCTGCTTGCCTAAGGCGAATAGTTGTTTTGAGAGGTTTTTCCTTTTACCCAATTCCTTTACCCTCTGTGTGTTTAAGGTTGTGAGATTGTTTTTAAATTTAAGGCCATATTGAGTAATTAGATAGACAGGGGCCTCATAGTGCCTTTTCACAGATGGCAACCTTTACTACTGCAAGTGCAAGTGGAGTTAAGTTGCTGATGTGTAGATCATCTGTTACCTTGTTTCCTAGGTAATATGCATGTGTCACTAGCTGAGGCCCTGGAGGTTCGGGGTGGACCATTGCAGGAGGAAGAAATATGGGCTGTATTAAATCAAAGTGCCGAGAGTCTACAAGAATTATTCGGAAAAGGTAAGCTATTTTATTGTATTATTTGTTATTATTTTTCTGAGTATCGGGTAATTATGGGGCAGGGATCTTTGTTTTGTTTTGTTATTTCTGTGCCTTTGGCAGAGTATGGAAAGGAATACTTTTTCTTATTTCTTTGGGCTGAAAAGCTCAGATCTTGTCTTCATTCATTTGACCATTGTATACCTGATATTGTGCCAGGCACTGAAAAGATAATGGTGATCAAAACAAAAAACATTTCCTGCCTGTTTGGAGCTTACAGTCCAGTGTAGAAGATAACTTTTAATAAAATAGTCATAAACAAATGTGAAAAATGCAACCGTGACAAGGGCTACAAAGGAGGGATTCAGTGACTGTGAGAACCCACAGTAGGAGGACTTGACCTGGTCATGAGAAAGAAAAGGAAGTCTTTCCTGCACAAGTCACACTGAGCTAAGACTGAAAGAAGAGAAGAAATTAACTACGTGAGAGGGAGGGAAAAGCATTCCTGGCAGAGAGAATAGTGTGTGCACCCCTGTATCTTTGAATTGAGATAATGTAGACTGAATAAGTAGTGTTGTGCATCCCAGTAGAAGTGGTTACTTGGTCCTCATAGTTGTGTGGCATTTTGGAGCTGGAAGAGTTAGAGTCACCCTTTGGTTGTCCAAAAACACTTGATATCATGCTGATGTGCTAAAACCAAGCTTCATCTAAGGAATAATCGGTCTTTAAAAATTGGTTGAGTGAATTAATTAGGCATAATAAACATGAAAGAAACCAGGTGAGAATTTGAGGGTAGTGGTAGTTCTCAACGTGTGCTCCCTGGACCAGCAGCATCAACATCACCTGAAAACCTGTTAGAAATGCAAACACTTGGGCCCACACTTGTTAGCTGCCACTGAGTAGGCCCAGCACACATAATGACCCCATGCACAACAAAGCGGAAATGTTGCCTTGTCAAGCTCCATACTGTGATTGGTTGTGGATCAGACTGTTGTGATCCTCGGACTTTTCCTTAGGTGATTTTCAGAAGTTGATTGCCAGTCCTTCCTTCCTAGCCTTAGTCTGGAAGCTCAGCTGAAACCTGTTCAGCATCATAGCAGCACGCAAGTCCCCCACTGACAGACCAGTGGTGGCTGCACATGAGGTGCATTGGCTGGGAATCAAACCCCGGTCTACAGCATGGAAGGCGAGAATTCTACCATTGAGCTACCACACTAGACCTACCGAATAAGAAATTCTGGGGGTGGAGCCCAGGAATTTTTGTTTTAAAAAGCCCTTGAGGTCTTTCTTACGCAAATTTTGAGAATCATTGGAGGACTGAATTGCTAAAGATTTGGAGCCCTGCGAACCTTTTTGAATGGTAAAGGAGGTGACCAGTGATTGAGTACAAGAGAGTCTATAGCACAAGGGAAGAGTGTTTGGTGACATATGTTAAAGCTTTGTTGTTGTTTTCCAATCCAAAAACAGGAACTTGAATATAACAGTTTTAGGGCTCACCTAATTCTGCTGTAACCTTAGATGCTTGAAGATCTTTGATTAATCTAAAGAAAATTTACTCATTTTATCTAATACCACTTACCTAAAATTCAGCTATTTTAAATAAACTTTGTTGCTTTGTTTGTCTCACTTTAATTTTTCATAAAATTGCCTGTACCACCAGAAGTATAGGAACTCCAGAATGTGGAGCAGGTAGCCATGCTCCAAAGGTGGTGTTGAAGGTTTTGTTGGTGGAATTACTCAATTACTCACCAATACTCAGTCAGTTACTACTTAAGAAGCATCTCCCACATGTAAGGCATTGTGTGGAAATAAGTAGGTGTTGCTGTTGCCCCCAAGGGATTCATTCAGATCAGACAGATACATGTGGGAAGTGTAATACTTCAAGATAGTGTGTGCCAAATCAATAATATAGACCATAAGTACTACAAATGATCAGAGAACAGAGAGAGAATATTTCTTTTTGTCATGCAAATGGCAGGATCTCTGCTCTGGCCATGACTCATGTAGAATATAAAGCATCTTGTATACTGTAAGTATCTAAGGGTCTTTCCTTCCTTCAAATTTCATGATGTTAATAGAGATTTAACATCTGAATGTAAAGTGCTTGTCATCGAAAGGCAGTTACTGCATAATATATTGGAACATTACAGTAGACTTACTGAATGTGTTTTAAAATTGATTGTAAGGCAGGCAGCTGTGTCTTAAATACTGTCCAGTGGAACCGGTTACTGTAAGTCCCCCAGTCTAAAATTCTATTTATTTGGAGAAAACCCATGCTTATTTGATTTAGTTTTTCTGAAATCTAAGGTTTTTCTTTTTTGTGTGTTTGATAACACAATGTCTTTCTTCCACAAATTGTTCTTCTAATTCTTTTCCTGACAAGTTCTCTCCTTGTAACAAAACTGAAATAAAATAATTATTACTTTGCTTATTTTGTGGAGAAATGACGATGGTTTTGGTTCACTAGTAGATGCCCTTATGAATAACACTGGTGTATTAGGGGGAAAATGTAGGTAAAATATAGTGGTCTCTAAAAAAAATTTTTTTTCCTAAAATGTGCTTTTCTCTCTTGGTTTTGTTTTTCTGTATTTGTTACATAAATCTTTATTTTAGTTCTTGTCGATGGCCTTTTTTCACCCTGTCTATATTCTTGACTTGTACGTTGCTCCTGTGTCTTTTTTTTCAGTATATATGTGCAAGCATGCTGTTGGAATTCTTATGAATAGAAGGCTGGAGATAAGCATTTCCACTGGGAGATTACTGAACAAAGGCTGAGAAAATTATCTGTTTCTTCATCTTTTTGAGTTTTCTAGAAATTCATGGCTTTTACCATTTTTTTAAACAAAATTATTGTGGTTATTATTTGTAGATTAATGACATCTAAGCACGGTTTTATTGAAACACACCATCTTCAGATGACTTTCTCTGAAGGAGGAAAAATGTAAAACTTTAAAAAAAAATATGTAATTGCAAACATTTAGATGATGGCGATGAAGATGATTGGCTCTTCTTTTGTTGTAAGTTTCTTAGCTTTGTTGTCTTGTGGTTATTAAAACATGTGGCCTGTATGATTACTTCTTAAAATTTATTGAGATTTTCTTGTGGCCTTATGTTTGGCCCATTTTTGTAAATACTCTGAGCATTTGACAAAAAATGTATATTTTCTGTTCTAGGCTATGAATTGAGTTTGTTAATGTTGTACTTTCAAAAATTCTATATTCTTGGTATACTTGATCTGTCAAATTCTTAGGCATATTTACAATCTCCACTATGTTTTTGTCTGTCTTCTTACTACTGTAATCATGTAATCATGTATTTTTATATAATTTTGTATGGTACATATAATGGCTTTTGACTAATTTAAATGGATTGGATCTTTTATCAATATAAAATAAAACTTTTATTTCTTTTTACTACTCATTGCTTTAAATGCTATCCAGTCTGCTCTTAATATTGTCACCTCTGCTTTCTTTAACTTGCCATTTACCAGTATATCTTTCCTCCTTCCTTATTTTCAAATTATTAGTATTGTAATTTAGGTGTCTCTTGTAAATAGTATATAGCTAGATTTTACTTTTTGACCTATCTGAGGGGTTGTTATTCTTTACTAAGGAAATTAATGTAGCCATTGAAATATAACTCTGGAGGAATTTCATTAAGGGTTCTCCCATATTATGACTTCCTAATCATATGCTTCTCAGTCTATCTTATTAACTGTTTAGAAAACATAGCTTATGTCAGAAAAAACTTCATTTTAAGATTTTAGCTTTTATATCATGGGTGAACTTATGCAGGGGTTTAGTGGTCCTAGAGAATTAAAAGATCAGTTGTATCTCTACATACTAGCAATGAACAATCAGAAGTTAAGATAAATACTATTTACAAGAGCAGCAAAAATATGAAATACTTAGGAATAAACAAATACTTGAAGAGCTATATAAATGAAAACTAAAAAGCAATGCTGAGAGAAATTAGAGAAGACCTAAATAAATGGGGAGTTAATATTGTGTTCCTAGATCAGAAGATCAATTTTGTTAAGATGTCAGTTTTCTCCAAATTAATATTTAGATTCAATACAATCTCTGTTAAAATCCCAGTAGGCTTTTTTATAGGAATTGATGAGTCAGTTCTAAAATTAATAGGGAAATCCAGTGGACTTAGAATAGCCAAAACAACTTGGTAAAAGAATAACAAACGTAGAGGACTCATACTACCTGATTTCTTGACTTACTGTAAAACTACAGTAAACATGGTAGATAAATATATTAATGGAACATAGTAGAGTCCAGAAACAGACTCGTACTTATATGATCAGTTGATTTTTGACAAAGATGCAAAGGATAGTCTTTTTGGTGAAGGTGCTTTAACAATTGAATATCACATACCAAAAAAAAGTTAATTTTGATGTATTCTTCACACCGTATACAAAATTAAAATGAATCACAGACCTAAATATAAAGTTTAAGATTATAAAAGTTCTACAAGAAAACGTAGGAGACAATAATTGTGACTCTGGGTTAGGCGAAGATTTTTTAGTTATGACACCGAGTGCATAATCCATAATACAAATAGATAGATAGATAGATAAATTGGACTTTATCAGAATTAAAACATCTCTTCTAAAGATATTAAGAGAACAAAGTCAAAGATTGAGAAAAAGTGTTTGCAAATCACATAACTAATAAAGGACTTCTGTCCAGAATATATAAAAAAACTCTCAAATCTCAAAAGTAAGAAAACAAACAACCCAGTAAAAAATGGGTAAAAGATTCAAACATTCACTTAACGAAAGAAGATGTGCAAATTTCAGATTTCAGATAAGAACATCAGAGATATGCAAAAGACTCAATAACCTTAGTCATCAGGAAGATAACTTATTTGTTCCTTTATAGGAAATATAGGAAGTTTTTATGGGTTGTAAGTTTTTGAATAAAGCTTTGTATAGTTATCTACAGCTTTTGAAAGACTAAATCCTGACTACTCCCTTTATAATATATTCCTAATTATCTGCAACCTTAATT